CTGGTTGAGCAGAACTCACTGGGATCCTCGTCTGCTGGGGTCTGTTGTGTTGTTAGCTCACCTCCTTTATGCACATAAATACATGAGGTACCAAGTTGGGGTCATTAGGATTGGATTCATCAAGCATCTTGATTTCTTTTTTGTTCACAGTTAAATGTTGACATAAGACAGAAGCAGGGAGGTGGTGGGATAGGGGCCAGGTGGGCAGCTGACAGATGCTAGGGCAGCAGCATGCTGCTGTGGGACATGTTCAGCACCAGCAGCCATGTCCTACCAGGAGCTTTTAGAGCAGGAGCAGATGCTGCCCTTCACGTTCTCAGAGAACCTCAGGTGCATTGTGAAATTGAAAACTAATTTCCTAAGTAGCGCATGCAGGTGACTTGCACAGTCCAATGAAATCATGTCTTCTGTCACAATCCACTTGATAAAGACTTGAACTTAGCAAAATGATTTTGATATGTTTCCTCAGCCATTCACTCCTGGTGAGGGGTAGGCCTCTGTTCTGCCCCTGAGCAGGGAAGGAAGGAGTGTTTACACCTCTGTGGTTCATAGAAAATTACAATGTCATTTGATATAAGCTGTGGAGAAAAAAAACAGTCCCAGACACTGGCTCTTTGTATGAATGAGGAAGAGTTGTTACAAACAACATGCATTTTCCCCTCATTGTTCCATAGTGTAATGACAGTTATGGAAAACATTCATTCAAAACCCTGAAAGATTGCAAAGGCATTAAGTGTAATGACTCATGGCTTCAGTTCAATTATGTCTATTGAGAAAAATAGCTCCTGGAAATGTCCCCAGATGAGTGACATGTGGACTGATGGCATATGGTCAGCAGATGCCCCCTTGTTAGCATAGGTTGCTAGTTATTGATAAAAGAACAGAGCAAAGGGAATCAGATATTAAGAAGCCAGCTTGCTTCACCAGGAAGCTACATCTTCACATGCTTCCCAGGGGATCACAGCACTGTCTCTCAAAGGGGATTAACACCCCTTCCTTCCCCAGGTAAGGAGCAGCTCACCCTCTGGATTGTTGGGGGGAGCAGGGGGAGGTAAGCACATGCCAAAATGATGACCATAGAGGCCCACCTGTCTAGCCTGGGAAGGAAATAGATTTGTAATAAGGGCGTGGACCCATTAAAAGCCTGTGAAAGCTTGAGAAGTTGACTGGGTATCTTGAAAAAGCAGCGAGTCCTTTTCAAGCCCAACATAATGTAATTCCAGGGAACAAAGCCCTTCTCTCTTGCTGGCCTCATTCATTTACTCATTCTCTACGTGGCAACCATGGGGGTTTAGCAGCACTGCCCAGGGGCCTGCCAGGCCACGCGGGCTCCAAAGGACTAAGCTTTAATACGAAACAGAAACTCTGGACACTGGCCTTTATTTTGGCCTTGTAAAGACAAAATTGGATTTTTTTCCATGGCAGGCCAGACAGAGATGGGACATTGGGAACCAGAGGAAGCCTTCCATTTCCACTCGGATAAATCTTGCTGCACCAGTTTCCTGTGCGTGAGTCCATGGAATGCTTTCCTCACGATCCTGTGAAAGGACACAGCTTCTACAGGCAGCAGCAGCAGCAGTACGTGCCAACAGTGTGGAGTGTGCTGAACCCTAGCGCTGGCCATGCTGGTGTCCAACTGGATGCTCACTGGATTGAGGGGTGGCGGCTCTGAAAAAGTGCTCTTTCTTCCTCTAGGTTAATATTGTAAATCTACAAAATAGTACGTAGCCTTAAAAAGAGCTCTTTTTAATGAAAATATAAGTGCCCTGGGTGGCCCTGCTATACCACAATGCTATTGCTTTTCTTTTAAAGGAAAAATTTATTGTGTGAGTACGTGCTTGTGTTTGTGTGGGTGTGTGTATGTGAGAAGGCAGGGGACATAATATGCAAACAATCAATGTTTGAGAACCTGATGTGCTGGGTTTTCAGCTAAAGAATAGCAGTTATCCATCTGCTTCCATGGCAGTGTTCAGGGACAGGACAGTATTACCTTCCCAGAAGCTCCCAGTGTCCTTCCCACTGTAGAAATTCCTCCTTCATGGGCAGTTAAGTGCGGTGTGTCCCAGTGTGTAAGGAAATCAGTCTGTTTTCCTAATAGGCATTGAGCAAAACGGTGGCTCTGTGGTCAAAGAGGTCAGACCTCTTTGTATTAAGGTAGTTAAGTGTTAAGGTAGTTAAGTGTTAAGGTAGTTAAGTGTTAAGGTAAGTGTTAAGGTAGAAAAATCTGAACAAAGGTCTTTGTGACGAGACTTCTGGAACTCTGTGTAGCAGGCGCTGAGACCCTAGTGGGAAGGCACTTGGAGTTATCTAATCAGGGAAGGTGCTGCTTGCACAGGGTGGTTCTGTCCTCCAGACTCACATTCACTGGAAGACACCAGTGAGGTAGTGTTCAGGCTTCTCTTTGGGTGGAAAGGAGGACTAGGGCAGGGTCCTGAGGGCTTCTGTTGGGCTCATACCTCAGAACATGCCCTAATTTAAGGGACTGGCTGTCCCTGAAGCAGGGAAGAATTTCCATCCAGAGACAACAAGCCTGTGGCAAGAAGGAAGCAAGTGCCACCTAAAGCAGAAGATCCCACACTGAAAGAGAATTTGAAAGAGCAAAATCTCATTCCGGCTCTTTCAAAATGCTTCCTTGCTTCCTGGGAAGGAGAACATGTTTACAAGTATTGACCCCCTCCTAACCTTGGAAAGATAAGCACGAGTCTTGACATCTCTCTGTGCCCGAGCTCACTGCCTGCTAAAACCACCTCATTTTACCACTCCCGTGATCACCACTTACAGAACAGCAGGGGTTTCTGCCCCTCCCAGGGGTTGAATGTTCCAAAGTCCAAGTCAGCTCCTCCTCTGAGCCATCACACAGTGCCACCTGCTGGCCTGCCCAATCCCCACTGGCCAGGCCACCAGAGAGTGGCCTTGGGGCCCAGACCGAGGTTCCCACTGATGTTGTGAGAACATGGCCTCAGGCCTGTCCCTGGCCTTACAGGTGTCAGTGCAGGTTGATAGGTAACCCTCACCTGCAATTGTGCAGACTGAGGCTGAATTCCTATGACTCACCCAGGTCAGTACTGGAGACCCAGCTGTGTCTGTACGGTATTCCATGTTGTCCTCTCGCTCTCTCGCTGCTCTAGGAGCTGGGGGCCTAGGGGCTGTCCGGCAGCCTATGTCACTCTCATCTTGGCGCTGTCTGTTTTGGGGCCTGTGTTGGGAGCGTGAGGGCAGCTAACCCAGGTCTCCAAACCTCTGGCTGCTGGGGCCAGGGGACCTCCAATGGGTCTGGGGTTGGAGGAGCTGGTGGCCAGGTGCAGAACAGGCAGAAAAGAGATGAATATAGCCACCAGCATACATCCTTGGGCTGGAGGACTGCCCCACACTAGCATTTAAGTTGTCCTCTGAAATAAGGTACAGTTTGGTGTGTGTGTGCACATATGTGGTGTTTGCACACGTTAGTGCATGGATGTGTGTGTGTAACCTCCTTTAAAGGAGGCTCTGGCTTTCCCAGACACTCCTCATGCTCTCTTTAGAAAGCAAAGGAAAGCTCACAACCTGCAGCCCTGCTTTCAGCCCTTTTTGCATTTCTGTGGCCCATCGGTCATCTTCCACTGGGGTACAACGTGGGCTGTCAGGCCCTCGCTGGGCAGATCCCATGCTGACAAATGGAGGGTCATGGCGACCAGGGCCCTCCTTGGCCCGTCTTCCCCTTTTGTGGATGGCAGAGGCTCACAGACCAGCTCTGAGGGGCCTGCATACATCCATCATGGCAGGACATGGCTGGGACTTACCATTTAAAAACAAACAAACATACATTGCTTTGACAATGCTGTTTAACACTATTTATCTGACAGACTCAGCTATCATATTCTAATAATATCCATGAAAATTATCATAATTCACATTTTTTATTAATAATTACAGTTTTTAAAAAGTTCAGTGACAAAAGATAGCCCTTCTGAAATAGAAGGATACTGCTTAACTGGTTGAGTGTACTCTTTGGGCGGCTGGGGGTGAGGGGCTGAAAATCTGGTGGTCACCCCCGTGTGTGAAAATCCAGCTGGAGCTGTAGTCCTTAGGTTGGTTGCAGTAAATGTGAAGTCACCATCCAACAAATAAAAGCAATGCTGGTGACACCAAATATAGGGGACGGACATGCTCCAATGAAACATGCATGTGGTTACTTTAACCACAGAATAGACTATGTTTCTGTTGTGAAGAACTTTGATCCCACTAGGGGTCAAGATGTTTATAGCCTCAGCAGTCAGCTGGTGGCGGCCTGGCCAGGGCAGTGTGTCTGTGCACAATACCCTGGTGGTCCCACGAAACAAGGTCCAGAAGGTGAAGGCACACGGAGTAAACCTGGGCCCATGTAAAGACATGGCTAGAGCCACAAGAAGGGCAGCATGCATGTCACAATCAAGCACAGGCCAGATGCCCCATACAAAGTCTTTACCTTCCAAAGTTGACTCATTCACATTTTAAGTCCCTCTTCAATGAAGTTGCCTTTCCCTCTGTGCCCTCCACTGGAGAAAGCACATATTTTCATTGAAAAAGACTTCCACACACTACCACAGTAGTAATTCTACACACGGGAATACCCCACACCCCCTGGATAGGCACAGGGGACATGGAGGACAGGGGCACTTGCACCTACGGGCTGGGTTTCTGGGGTAACCAGGCCCCTCCTCCCTATTGACCACTCACATTCTAGATGTTCTTTATCACCAGAGTTTTGGGAGGGGCAGAGAGCTGCTGGACACTGTGGGAAATCTCCTCAGGAAGAAGCTGAATGTGGGCCTCCGGACTCCTACAAGTGCAGCTTTCCCCACAGATACTCTCTGGGGGTAGAAGAGGGAGGACACCAGGAGTCAGCAGCTTACCTGTTTTCTCAGATGCCATAACCGACATGTGCAATCCTTCCTTTTAGGATTCTAAACCTACATGTCACGTGACCAGAGATCGTCATTAATCTTTTTTTTAAAAGATTTTATTTGTTTTTAGAGGGGAAGGGAGAGAGGATGGGAAACATCAATGCACAGTTGCCTCCCACGTGCCCCCTACTGGGGACCTGACTCACAACCAGGCATGGGCCCTGACTGAGAATCAAACCAGCAACCCTTTGGTTCGTAGGCCAGCACTCAATCCACTGAGCCACACCAGCCAGGGCTGTCTTAATCTTTTTAATTTCAGGGTCTCTAAGTGTGTATTGCTATTGTTGTGAGTACCTGCTCAGCACATAGGGATCCTCTCTTTAACAAATTATTAAGCTACCAGGTAGCACAATTCTAAAAGGCATGGATAGTTTCTAAAGGTTTAACACAAGTTCTGTGAGTGAGTGAAGTCTTGTTCGGGCCAAGCAAGCATGCTGAGTGCTGCTTTCTCCATGTCTAGCTTCCCTCTGTTAGGAGCAGGGCCTCTTCTCCTGATCACAGATGGGATGTACAGTAAACTGTCTCAGGCATAGCTGAAGACAAGATGGTCCAAGTTTGTCTTGACTGACCTAAGAATGATGTCTAAATAGCTCTAATTTTGAAGAGCCACAGCAAAACTGATTATCAATGGTCTAATGACTTGTGCAACATCAGACATTAGTTAAGGCTTAACTAAGACTAGGAGACGAGGAAATCTCGAGTTTTGTATCTTTGCCCCAAAATCACACTCAATAAAGCCTACTTGTGGCAAGCATCAGGGTCTGTGACTTTATTATGAATTAATACTTTCTTCACAAACTCATCTTTACATGCCCTTGGCCACCAGGGTGTCCCCCACTATGAATACAGAAAAAGACAGAAATTCTGTCCGGACCCCTCTTCAAGGGAGAGGAAGCATGGGCCACACTAACTAGACAACAGAGACAGCCCACAGAACCCTGATGTCTGTCCTCGTCACACTCAAGGTGACAGACATCCTTTCCCCTGCACAGTCTCCATTCAAGTACAGTCTTCAGAGAGCCTGCGAGAGAGAGCCTTTCAGGGAGTCAGTAAGCCGATCCTCCCAGCAGGCCACACGGTTCATGCAGAGGCAAGACTGGGGTTCAGAACACACAGAGCAAAAGCAGTATCCAGACTTCGTTCCCTTTAACGGGCTACACCTTAGAAGCTGCCTGGTAGAAACTGATCTTTAAGCCTCAAAGCACTTTTACCATCCAGAAAGCTTTTCAGGGCCAGGGCCAGCCACATGGCCTGTTCCAGCCAAACTCCCTTCTTCCTTCCGGTCCTCCACTGCAGGCGTCATGGGTGTCACTGTGCCATATTGACACTGACAATGCAAGACGAGTGGCTGGATACCACATGGCAGTATCTCCAGGCTGTGGGGAGTTAGAGCAGCCCACAAGCCAGAGCACTGGAAAGACTGCAAGGAAAGCTGGAAACAGATCCTGAAAATAACCTGCCATGAAAGCCACTCAGACAAGAAGCAAAAGGAATCCACAGTGCTGTTGACCCTCTTGTCCATCTTTCTCCCACAGCTCGTCCGGACGGGTTTGTTCTGTGGAGGCTATGTTCCCATACAGGCTTTGGGGAAGCACAATCATGGGCAAGTGCCCATGAGAGTGGCTCTCCCAGCGGGCAAAGGGAGATGGAGACTCAAAATCCATGCATTGTAATACATTTGCCTGCGATGACACATCTGCTCAGAGGCTGCACGAACAGGTGCCAGGGGAGCCTTAGTTCACCACGTCATAGTAGTAATTGCGCAGCCGCAGTTCCACAGCTGCGAACCCGGGCCGGCTCTCCACGCTGGAAAAGGAAGACATGCATTACTATTCCTCATCGTACTGGAGAAAACGCGCTCATCCCGGGGGCCTTTCCAGGGCCAGTACAGATGGCCGTGCCCCCTGGCAGCCTCCTCTGGAGCCTGCAGCTCATGGCATGTCCCTGCTCCCTAGCACTGGGTGACCAGAAGCTTGTGTGGAATATAGCCTCAGGCCCACACCAGACCATCAGAACCCCATGTGCATTCAATAAGACTCCAGGTGACTCATGTCCCCCTTAAAGAAGTTTTGCACTCAAGTCCAGACCCTTTAACCCAGAGGCTGTGTCCTTGTGATCTAGCAAAACAGATGTGTCTGAAATACTTAGCTGGTCAATAGTTGCATACATACCTTTAACATATGGTTTATAAACTTGTTCAGAAAAAAAACAGACACAATTTAAACTTTCCCTCTCCACACCCCATTGGATGGCTCTAGATTTCTGAAAATGTGCTGTTGATGTGGGTTCTTCTTTTTTTTTTTTTTAAATATTTTATTGCTCTTCTATTACAGTTGTCCCCATGTGGGTTCTTATTAAAACTTAAAACCTGTCATGACAGAAGCAAAGATGCAGGCATGTCTATGACACATCTTAACACAGCAAGGCCTCACTTTTCTGTCACTTCTCAGGGGAGGTAGCAATGTAAGTAAACTATGGGAATAAGTTTTTCATAATTGTGACCTCTAAACAAACTTTTATAGACATCTTTGAATGGGATCTGTTGGAAGCAAGTACTTCTTAAAACTCTAAGAATCGACACTGATCTCCTCCCAGGACCAACCTGGAATTACAAGTAAATTGTGGAGAAATCACCGGGAACAAACAACTGAACAATAGCAAAAGAGGAGCCTTATAACCTGGGACAGACAAAAGAATCAGCTTTAGCACAACCTAATTGCCACTTACCCTGGGCTCCAGGAAAGGTGGGGACAGAGTGGGCTGGAGACGCCTGAGGAGAGACTGTGGAAGGCGGCTTTGGGAAGAGAACTGAGAGAGTAGCCGGTGGGATCCCAGTGGGGGATCCTCCCCCATACATCAGCAGCCATCTACCTCAGGGAGACCACTCCCATGAGCAGCAGCAGCAGCAAGAAAGGACCCAATAACCCCGCCCCTAGAAGGGGTTATTGCCCTGCCCTGTGGTGTCTCTAAACCAGCCTGCTGAGTGCAGAGGGACTAGAGTAACAGCTGAAGGAGAGAGCCACAGACAGTAGATTCCTGGAAGTCTTGAACAGACTGCCTAAGGTCAGACAGGGTCAACATCTGATATCATCAGAGGAAGATCCAGAGAGTAAAAACAGCAGTCTCCTACCAAAGAAGTTCACACCACAAACTCAGGAAATCAAGACAGATCAATTTAAGAAGCAAAAGCAAAAGAGAAAAGCCTCACAAAGAATGGGAAGACAAAGAAACACCCCCCCCAGGTGAAGGGAAAGGAGGAATCCCCAGAAAGAGAACAAAATGAAATAGAGGCAAGGAAACTAACAGATACTGAATACAAAACAATGGTTCTAAGGAAGTTCAATGAGCTCAAAGAGAATTATAAAAAACTGCAGGGAAACAATGAGGAACTTACTGCAAACTATATCAGCATGAAAAAGGACATAGGAACTATCAATAAGAGACAAGAGGACATGAAGAATACAATTTCTGAATTGAAGAACACAGTAAAAGGAATCAAAAGCAGGCTGGATGAGGCAGAGTATCAAATCAGTGAGATGGAGGACAAGGTAGAAAAAAGCTCCCAGAAAGAGCAAGAAATGAAAAAAGACTAAAAAAGAATGAAGAGGCATTTACGGAAATGCAGGACAACCTGAAATGTAATAATATCTGTATAATAGGGATACCAGAAAGAGAAGGAGAGGGGCAAGGGATAGAAAACCTGTTTGAAAAAGTAATGATGGAAAACTTCCTTAATTTGAGGAGAGAAAAAGTTATACAAGTCCACAAAGCACAGAGGGTCCCACTCAAGAGGAACCTAATGAGGCCCACTCCAAGACACATCGTCCTTAAAATGGCAAATATCAAAGACAAACAGAATCTTGAAGGAAACAAGGGAGAAAGTGGTGGTAACATAGAAGAGAGCCTCAGTATGGCTAGCAACTGACTTCTCAACAAAACCACTACAAGCCAGAAGGGAATGACAAGAAATATTCGAAGTCATGAAAAGCAAAGGCCTACAACCAGGACTGCTCTACCCAGCAAGGCTTTCACTTAAAATGGAAGGCAAAATAAGGAGTTTCCCAGACAAAAGAAGCTTAAAAGAATACACCTCCACAAACCAGCACTGCAAAATATGCTAAAGGAGCTGCTACACACCCCAGTGTTCACAGTGGCATAATTTACAATAGCCAAGTGTTGGAAACAACTGAAATGTCCATCAGTAGATGATGGGATCAAAAAACTATGGTACATTTACACAATGGAATACTACGCAGCAGAAAGAAAAAAAGAACTACTACATTTCATGACAGCATGGATGAAACTAGAGAGCATTATGCTAAGTGAAATAAGCCAGGGGCAAAAGACAAATACCATATGATCTCGCCTATAAGCAGAACCTAACCAACAAAACAAAGATGCAAGGAAAATAAGGCCAGCAACACTGAAAGAAAAAGAAACCAACAGAGACAAGAGGAAGGAGGGGGGGTGGGCGAGGGAAAAGGAAGGGAAGGGGCAAATCAAGGAACATATAGCAAGGACTCTGTGGACAAAGCAAAAGTGGGGAAGGATTGAGGGAGGGAGGGGAGAGGGGGCAGGAGAAAGTGGTGGGGGGAAGGCAGAGACAAATGTATTTGGAAAAAGAAATTAATTAAAAAAATAAAAAAAAGAAGGCTGGCAAAAAGAAAAGATAAAGAGTCTATGAATACGCAGTTCCTTCACAGTCACCAATACTTGATATTACCAATATTTTTAATACTTATTAATCTGATTGTGACAATGATGTGTCATTTTAAGTGTTACTTTATTATTTGTTGAAACTAAACTTGTTTTTGTACACTTATTGACTATTTCTACTATTTTTAAGAAGCTTTAAATGACGTTTTGGTATTCTTTATCCATTTTTTTGATTAAAAGTTTGTAGAATTTTTGCCTACCCCAAAGAAAAAACAAAACCCTATTAACCCTGTTTTAGATGTGTTGCAAATACTTTCCTATTCTATTACTGAGTATGTTACTGCAGGGTAAGAAAAAAATTATTTTGAATTTTCTAAAACTCCTTAGATTTTACATATTGATTTTTAACTTATCTGAAGACTTCTTGTATAATGTGTGAAATAGGGCTCTATATTTGTTTTATTTTAAGTAATAGTGGTCCATGTACCTTATTTGTTGAAGAAGCCTTATTTTCCCCATTGATTTGAAATATAAATTTAATCATATATTACATTGTTTTTTTATATACATATATATATATACACACATATACACACATACACACATGCACACACACATGCTATTGTTTCTAGAATGCTCATTTTGTTTCACTGATCTACTTGATTATTTCTGTGCTGGTATCATGTTGTTTTAATTGCTGAGACTTTATAATGTATTTAAATTTTTAAATATTTTACCATGGATCTTGACATTTAAAAAAGTAAATAAATAGAATCAATCTGCATTAAAAAGAAAGAAAGGAAAAAAGAAAGAAAGAAAGGCAGGAAGGAAGGGAGAAAAAGAGAGATAGAAAGAGAGAAAGATCTCATACTTTTTGTGACATCATAGATGGAACTGGAGAAAATTATGCTAAGTGAAATAAGCCAGTCAGTGAAAAACAAGTACCATATGATATCACCTATTAGTGGAATCTATGTTACAAAATAAACTAATGAACAAAATAAACCACAGGCATGGAAACATGGAGCAGACTGAAACTGACCAGAAGGGATAGGGGAGGAGGACAATGGTGGAATGAAGGGGAAGGGACTAGACAAAGAACAGGTATGAATGACCCATGGACAACAGACCGGGAATTGAGTGTGGGTGAGGGGATCAGGGTGGGATGCATGGAGGAGGGCAAAGGGGGAAAAACTGAGACAACTGTAATAGAATAACCATGATTTAAATACTAAAATAAATAAATAAATAAAAGAATGTGGAAAAAAGAAACTCTAAGAATCTATCCTTGTTTGGATATAATTTTTTTTTTTACTTTCTCAAGAATTTTGGCTATATTGCAAGTAGATAAAATTGCCTAGTAAGTAAAACAGAACTTGAGGTTAAACTATGAACAGTCCACATCCAACCTCTTTGATCTACAACTACAATTTTGTAAGGTTCAAGAGAACAGCCTGGGAGCATGCATGAGGCCCCGGAATCACTCATCAATGTAAGGGCAGTGTGGTTTCTTCAGAACCAAAATGTTATCCTTTTTTTTTTTTTAAGTCAGATGGCATCAAAATTTAGTAAGTCCTCAAAAGGTTCCATGACTTTAAGCGAAACAACACATAATGAAACCAATTTGAGTATAAGGCTAACTGATACAAGCAAGAGTTAGGTTCCAACAGCATCTTATAAGTGTTACAATAATATGGTCCTATTTGAGAACCTACAACTTTTAAGAGCAAGCAAAAACTGCTTGAAAAAATCAGCCATCTGTGGTCATGGCTGGGGACTTAGGCCTCACTGTTGGGGGCCATGCCTCTGGATGCCAAGTTGTATTCTAGGAGGGAATGTAATGGCCAAGCCCTGGGGTACAGAATCACACATACAAACTTCTGTTCACACAGAGACAGCCTCAGTCCCACTACAAAGTGAACACAAACTCCAGCCAGGGGGACCTGAATGCACAAAGAGTGTGTCTGAATTTTGCTGTGTGTGTTTTATTCGCCCAGCATCTGAGCACCAAGAAAACTAATGTAGAGAAACAGGAATACAGATGGGGCCTCAGGGAAGACACCTAAACAGGTGTCTTAGGGAACCTCTCCTTTACTCTACAGGTAAGGCTGCCATGAGGAACCTAGGATGACGCTGAGCTTGGGCAGAGGTGACTGAGTGTCCTGTGGTGGGTCACTTCTGCCCACTCAGGCCCCGAATGCTTTTCCCACACTTGCTCTTGCGCCCAGTGCACCCCTTCTTCTCTTCTCATTTTCTGCACCCAAGCTCCCCATCCTGCAGTTGTCAGGTGTTAAGGTCCTTCCAAAAGAGGCCAATAGGGACCCTAACAGAAGTATGATCCCCATAATCCTCTATTCCCATTCAGAGCTCTCCATGATTTTCTCTATTGCACCCACTGCAATATGCCATCACACGTGTATATAGGAGTTAATTTGTTTCATGTTTGCTTAGCAACATCTAGTCTAAAATTGTGACCTCCACGAGGGAAGTGTCAACTGCTGCTTATTCCCAGTGCTCACTAACTGGAGGGCAGTCAAAAGGTGTGTCAGTCATAAATCTAAATGTGTGTATGTGTATGTTTTTCTGTCTAAATTTTTATTATTTGTCCTACCTACCCACCTATCCATCAATGCACCTACCCATCCATCTATCATGTGTGGATTGATGAATCTATCATCTGTCTACATATTATCTATCTATTTACCTATCTACCCATTTTCTAGGCATACATCCGTCATCAATTAACCTTTGTAACTGTCTATCCATACATCCATCCATTCACCTACATTCCTTCCTTCTTTGTACCTATGTATGTATATATGTATGCATGTATCTTCTATGCATCCATCTACTTTCCAACCTACCTATCTACCTAAAAATCTATCACCTTGGTAAAGGTGGTTGACTGTTTATAATAGAGAAAATCTTGGAGACTATACAGGAATCATTTGTATTTGCTTCACTGAATCTACCAGGTTCTGGAAGCTCCACATTTCCATGTACCAGGCAACTATTTCATTTCCTTCTGCAAATGACTACCTGCACATGGGAGGTCCTCACACATATGTGCAGCAGTCTCCCAGGCCCTGTGTCCTCTGACTTTCAGAGTTGCTGCTGGGCTTGTCTCTTTCCAAGAACACACAATAGAATGCACTTCCTTTATAGCTTATCATTTATTGCCTGCTGCTCCTTCCTCAATAGCAGACTCCTACAGGGGCAGTAGCTAGGGTCTCTGTCCGGTTTGCTGAGGTTAAGTCTCCAGGTTGTCAGCTCCTGGTACTTTTGAGTTCTCCTTGCTGGCCATGCCCTCAAAAATATTTTGTTCTTTTTTTCCATTCAACTGTATATCATTTAACTACTTATATTTAGACAGCCCCTAGTGTGTCTCCCTGGATGGCCCCTGACATTCCAGGCCATTATTAGAAAACCTTTAACCTTCAGAAATATAGCTTATTGGAAAAAGAAAGTTTAATAAGGAGTTGTCAGTCCTAGTTTTAGGCACAGACTACAGTCACTATTTCTACTCCACTGATAGTTAAATGCTATTGCTAATTCCTAGATATCTGCACAGAACTCACTGGAAAGCATTCCTGGGGTTGGAGGTGATGGGAAAGACAGCACTGCCTGTAAACCTTACTCAGACTGTGACTTAAACCTCCAGGTGTGACTTAAACCTTACTCAGACTGACTTTAAATTCTGACATCCTTCCAGGAGAAAAGAAACTGGGAAACAATGTTTTCTGAAAGAGGAGTGTTCTACCTAGCTCCATCTTCAGTGAATACCAAGCCTTGTTGTCCATCCTAGAAATAACAGCACCAAGAGCTGTGTGTGTCTCTGAGGATGAAGGCAGGTGAACAGATGTCTGGAATCCTGTTGCAGGAAGAACGCTCTAGTGCTATCAGTATTCAAGGCTCACCATGTCCAACCAGCCAAGCTGGGGTGTGTCTTGGCTACATCATTCCTCCTACCATCATTCACAGCTCCTGACATGGTTCACGCTGCCGGGCACACCCTCAACACTTCTCCTGCACCCTGAGTCCCCTCCCCTGTCCACCCTTCCACTCCTCACTTGTCAACATCTACCACAAAGAACAGTGGACAGGAATAAACATGTCAGTATTCGCTTTAAGAGCAAAACAGTAACTTCAACTGTCTCCCTGAGACTTCATTTTAATTCTAGTTTTTTTTTTCATTTTTTCAGAATGATTTAAAGTTCATTTTTCTCAGAGGAAGTGAAACCTTCCAAATGAAGTAGCAGGCAGACGGAAGAACTACCCAAGGGTGTGTCCTCTCCAGGGCTTCGCACATCTCCCAACCGAGGGGTCTGCTTGGCTCCCAGTGATGCCTCACTGGCCAGCAGGTCCCCAAAACCTGGCGAGGCGCATTCTACACAGTACCTACTAAAGTCAGGAAGGCCTGTGCTGTTCTCAGCCACTTTATAGGAACAGGTGCTACGAAAAGGAACTTGCTGGTCTGCCCTCATTCAGTAGTTCTTGGAAAGTCTCAGAGGTGCTCTGTCCCCCGGCCCCCTACCTTTCAGAAGCATCTTAAAGTAGGACAGCTGGGGCTTGAATAAGCACAGGTGTAAGGTGACAAGTTCAAAGTTTATATCAAGGTCTGTAACATCACTCAGGGATTTTTTTGTCTTCTGTTTCCTATATGACCCCACCCCAGCTGCAATTTCTAGCTCAGACCTTTGTTTCCCATTTTGAAAGTGGCTAGGACTCACCTGTCACTGATTCTAATAATTCTAGTTTGGGCACTGGTGAGGAGAGTGTAGGATTTAGTCAAGACCTCAAAGATTGGACACTCCCTCTTCTATTTCTCTCCTGCTGATACTCTGATATTCTGGGTTCAAGAAGCTCCCGAGGGCCCAGATGGGCCACTTTGCTACAGAAAGGGCCTTTTCTTTGAACAGGGTCAGCACCAGCAACTGGATACATCTGCCTCCTCTTTTGGGGGCTCCCCAGGCTGCCTCTAGACAATAATGAGATCTTTTATTTATGCTCCCAAGTGTGCTGGGTGAATGGTGCTCCCTGGATTGTAGTGGAATCCCAGGTGGCACCTGAGAGCACTTGCACTATCCCTCATTCTTAGAAGATGCTCCTGCATCTCCAGCTATTGTTATCTCAGAGCAAAACTGATCCCTGAAGTATGAAATCTATTGCAAGTATATGTGCTGCTCCCAATTACAGACCTGCAATGTGTTGCCAAGCTGCACACACCAACGCCAGATGTACAGAGACTACAGCTCAGGGCTCCCCACAATGCACTCACAGGATGCCCAACCCAGGCAAGGTCCCTGATTCCCAGGTGTGATGAGTTCCCCTTGCCTGCTGAACTGCCATAAGCTCATGTATGCTCCAGGCAGGATGCATTACAGTGCTTAGTTAAGGCACACTCCGAGGGTCACTGTTCCCAGGGGGTGTGCCTGGCAGTGTGACCCGGCAGCTTCCCAGGTCTGAGTCACTTCTCAGGAAGTGCTATCTTAGCTAATTCATCGGTGAGCCAGCCAACATCAGTTGCACTGCTTCACTCTGAAAGGTGGTTGGAATTAGGAAAGTAGACATTTCCTTCTAAGTGTCTCTGCCATCCTGTTGCCAGAAATGGTACATAGCACTGGACCAGACTCTTAGGAACATCTTTCTATTTTGACCACCCGACCACCCTGGCCAATATTATCTACATTTAAATTCTGACATCCTGAATTAGAGTAATTGTATAAACTTATTATTATTATTTTTTAGGCTAAAGAATAGAAGTGCGTGGTCCAGAAAGCAAGACATTTTCTCCACTGTTTGTTTAGACGGGAACACATCCCTGCTTCATGAAAAGACAGAATTTATGCCTCTTTTAGTGCCCAGACATTCCAAATACCTCCACAGTGTCTGGATAAATTGCAGGAAGGGGTGGGTACTCACTCATATGTCCAGCACAGGTTCATCAGATCATACATCTCCCTGGGACACCCTGGAGGGCACCCCATCCTCTCTCCTTTCTCCAGCATAGCAGAAACTTCACTTCCTTTCATCCCCTAAAACATGCAAAATATACCTCAGCTTTTTAAACTCAGCATTCAGCAAAACAAAACAACAAATATATCCCACTCTCCCCAAAGAAACAAAAGAGTACACGAAGTATGATTTCAATTATAAAATGTACAAACACAGCAGCACCTAACCCATGATCTAGAAGTTAGATGAGGTTACCCTTGCGGGCAGTTGTGCATGCAGGGGGAAGAGGACTTGGGATTCTGTTCTGTTTCTCCCTCTGGGGGCTGGTTTCATGGGTATGTACCATCTGTGAAGATTCAGCAAGCTGTATCCCAGCATTTGTGCACTTTTTGGTATATGTATTTTGATTAAAAAAAAAAAAACTCCAAAAAACATAACGAGCTGCTAATTTGATACTGGAAATAGCCATTATTTCTACTTCACCTTTAATTAATGTTGATTTGGTTATGTTTTATATATATTTACATGTGTCATATAACAGTGGAAAAAAAGACACACTGTTCAGTTAGCATTAAATATTTCTTTTGCAGTTGCTAATAAACTGAGGTCATATTAACTGCCCACTGTCAAAAGACAGCCAAAGGCTCAGGAAGAATGCCCAGATTATAATTTTCAGGGACCTGCAATGCCACATAATTAATTAGGACATGACACACTAGTGGCTAACCCGATACGGCTTCTGCCCATAGGAAAACGCTTCCCACATTAACACCCCGAAGCTCCAGACGTCACTCTTGCTGGAAAACTTGTAGTAGTTGATGCACTCTGGAGCATACCACTTCACGGGCCACTTCCCATGGGTCTGGGCCTGAGAGCAATGCAAACAGAGAACTTTCATTAAGAACAAAATTGTGCACATCCATGTTCATAGCAGCACTAGTCACAACAGCCAAGAGGTGGAAGCAACACAGGTGTCCACTGACAGATGAATGGACAAACAAAATGAAGTCAACTCATACAATTGAATGTCATTCAGCCCTACAAAGGAAGGGGGTTCTGACACATTGAACAACATGGAGGAATCACGAGGTTATCTTTCATTATGCTGAGTGCAATAAGCCAGTCTAGTCACAAAAGACAAATACTGTGTGATACTCATCTGTGGGCCCTAGAGTAGTTCAATTCATAGAGGCAGAAAGTAGAATAAGGGTCCCCAGGGGCTGGGTAAAGAGGGAGGAATGGAGAGTTAGCGCTTAATGGTTACAGTTTCAGTTTGGTAAGATGAAAATATTTCTGGAGATTGGTTGTAAACAAAGTGAATATTCTTAATACTACTGAACTGTAATCTTTTTTTAAAAAGATTTTATTTATTTATTTTTAGAGAGAGGGGAAAGGAGGAAGAAAGAGAGGAAGAGAAACATAGATCTATTGCTTCTCACACACCCCCAACTAGGGACCTGGCCAGCAACCCAGGCATGTGCCCTGACTGGGAATCAAACTGGAGAACTTTTGGGTTTATGGGATGATGCCCAACCCACTGAGACACACCAATCAGGACTGAACTGTAATCTTGAACATAGTTAAGATGGTAAAATTTATCTTAAGTGTACTTTACCACAATTCAAAAAAATAATAAAATCATGACATAAAATGCCAGTGTGTGTGAGTGCACATGTGCATGGGTGTACGTATCGGTCTGAATCTTAAACATACGAGTAAATCCTAAAATCTTAAATTTTATAGGCATCTTTTTAAAGATCCAGATTGAATTTCTTCTATCTTTCAGTCATTTTCTCTCACCTTTTCCTTTCACCACTCACACTTCACAGAGCTTGTCGTAGCAATGCAAGAGTCAAGCCTGAATGATTATGCTCCAAGAAGCACTGGGCTGTTTTTAAGTGTATTTGTCTATAGTTTTAAGCTAACACAAATTACTTGGGCATAGACTGTTTACTAGGATCATTTTAAACTGGTTTAAACTTTCGAATTTAAAAAGTGTTAGAAAAGAGATCAAAATCATGCCTGGCAAAACCCTTTCCTTTGGGGCTTGGGGTTCAGTGTGTCGTGGGTATGTCTTGCAGCCTCCTGCAGGTGTCACTCTGATCTGGGTGAAGTCTCTTGAAGCAGAGGGAGGAAGGTGAGCTGCCATAAGGTGGGTTAGGAGAGGGCAACTTAGAACATAAAGCTGAGACCACAAGTGCCATAGTAGTTCTCTGTATGACAAACTGATCGTAGCTCTATCTCATTCACATGATGCATTATTTATAGATTTTGATTTCAAAAGTTGTGAACAATACAGTTATGTGTGTTATTTCAAGTTTATTCTGAACTTTGGACTGATAAAAAGATAAATCTTTGACAAATCTTAAATGTGGCGAAAGATCAGTCTCTGTCCACCACCAACTCCAAATTCTCATCTACAGAGATAACCATGTTTGATAGCTTTTCCTGGACACTTCCAGAAAAATACATATACAAGTATAAATAGGCAATATATACTTTTTGGGGAATAATAAAATCAGAGGCATACCTTTATGTTCTTTACTTTTTTCTTTTTAAAGATTTTATGTATTTACTTTTACAGAGATGGGAAGGGAGAACGAGAGGGAGAGAAACATCAATGTGCCGTTGCCTCTCATGTGCCCTCTATAGGGAGCCTGGCCTGCAACCCAGGCATGTGCCCTGGCTGGGAGTCAAACCAGAGACCCTTTGGTTCGCAGGCCAGCACTTAATCCACTGAGCCACACCAGCCAGGGCTGTTATTTACTTTTTAATTTTTCGACTTAAGCATGTATCTTAGGTACATTTCTATGTCAGTACATGTAAATAAAGTTAAGTTTAGAAGTTAATTGTATGCTTCATATAAATCTCCTACAACTAACTTAACAAGTCTCCTACTGAGAGGCCATTATGTAGTTTCCTGAGTTTTGTTATTATACATCATGCTAGAATGAACATTACTGGCAGTGTGTAAAGGCGGACCTTGAAGATACGATGAGTTCAGTTACAGATCACCATAATAAAGCAAGTCACGCAATTATTTTTCTTTTCCAGTGCATATAAAAGTTACATTTATATTATATGGTAGTCTATTAAGTGCACAATAGCATTAAGTCTAAAAACCATTTACATGCCTTAATTAAAAAAATACTTCATTGCTAAAAAATGCTTTAGAGAGTCATAATTGTTGCTGGTGGAGAGTCTTGCCTCAATGCTGGTGGCTGCTGACTGAACGGAATTGCTGAAGGTTGGAGAGGGGCTGTACCAATTACTTAAAATGAGATAATGGTGAAGTTCAATGCATCGATTGACTTCGCCTTTCATGAATGATTGCTCTGTAGCATGGACTGCTGTGTGATATTTTATCCACACTAGAACTTTTCTCAATATTGGAGTTGATTCTCCCAAACCCTGCCACTGCTTTATCAACTAAGTTTATGCAATATTCTAAATTTTTTGTTGTTTCTTAAACAGCCTTCACAGCATCTTCACCAGTAGATTCCATCTCACAAAACCACTTTCTTTGCTCATCCACCAGACGCAATTCCTCATCCCTTAAAGTTTTATCATAAGATGGAAACAATTCAGTCATATCTTCAGGCTCCACCTGTAATTCTAGTTCTCTTGCTATTTCCACTACATCTGCAGTTACTTCCTGCACTGAAGCCTTAAAATTTAAAGTCATCCAATCAACTTCTTCCAAATTCCTATGAATGTTGATATTTTGACTTCTCCTTATGAATCATAAATGTTCTCAGAGGCATCTAGAATGGTGAACTCTTTTCAGAAGGCTTTCAATTTCCTGTGTTGGCCACAAAGTCTGTTTAGTTTTTTCCCCCATAAAATAAAAGACACATAAGACAGCCTCACAGCAAAGAATTATTTGGCCAAACTGTAAATAGTACCAAGAAACTTTGCAAGCCATTTTTGTCATGTTGAATCAGTCACATCACCTTCATACACTGCACAAATTTTTTCCATTTCAGTTGCATTTTTACCTTTCTTAAAATAAAAAAGCATAATATGCTGAAAATGTTGCATATTTATTCTACCTTCAATATTAAAATGACTGTACAAAAATTCACCAATTTTGATGTTTTCTTTTTAATGCCTGCTGATATGACAGCTGTCACAATATAATCTAACAAAATTGTTTTGAATGAAGTTAAAGACAACTCAGGTCTACTAGAGCCATTATATGTGAAAAACTAAATGAACTTTTTGGCCAACCCAATACTTTGCCCAGATCCCTCAGGGGAATCATTATCAATGACAGCTATAGAGGCCATTGCAGGGTTAATAACTGGCCTAATTTCAGTGTTGTGTGTTAGGGTGTATGGAGAGCTGTGGAGAAGGAGTGAGAGGAGAAGGCTGGTCACTAGAACAATCAGAACACACACACTTAGTAAGTTTTCTATCTTATACAGGTACAGTTCATCTCATGCCAAAGCAATTATAATAGTAACATCAAATATTACTGATCACAGATCAACATACCAAAAATAATAATAATGAAAAAGTTTGAAATACTACAAGACCAGAGACACTTAGTGAGCAAATGCTGTTGGAAAAATAGTGCTCATAAACTTGTGTATCACATGGTTGCCACAAACCTTCAATCTGTAGAAAACACATTATCTGCAAAGTACAATAAAACAGGTGTGCCTGTATTGCCTGGTATGTCAGGTATTTGTGAGGAGTTGCTCTATCAAAGGATACGTGGTTTACAGTCTGGTGCTGCAGAGTTCAGCTGCCGTGCACACAGATCTCTGAGGACCACACTCATCTGCTTCCTTTGCTATCATTTCTCTTTCGTCCCATTCAACTTTTTACTCTTTTCCATCTCGTTTTGTTTTGTTTGCTTAAGAAAAATCTTCCATGTCCCCATCTTTTCTGAGTGTTCAGTCTCTTTTGCAGGTTCTAACATGGCTTTCAGTTTTTTGTACAGTGTGATGATTTGATGCACATATATATATTGTGAACTGTTTACAGTAATAACATTAGCTAACACATCCTTCACCCGACATGATTACCATTTTTGTTGTTATGGTAAAAAATTTAGTATCTACTCTCTTAGCAATTTCCAAGTATATAACACAGTATTGTTAATTATAATCATCATGCATTAGATCCCAAAACGTACTCGTCTTATAGCTGGAAGTTTGTACCCTTTGACCACCTTCACCCATTTCCCTCCCCTACAAACTACTCTCTGTTTCACTGTGTTCAGTTTTTTGTTTTTTTGGTTTTTTTTTGGATTCCACATATAAGTGAGATGACAGCATACTTGTCTTTTTGTGTCCGACTTATTTCACTCAGTATAATGCTCTCAAGTTTCATCTACGTTGTTGCAAATGGCCGCATTTCCTTCTGCGTGTGTGTACTTTTTTATCCATTTATCCACTGATAGACATTCAGGTTGTTTCCAAATCTTGGCCATTGTAAATAATGCTGCAATGAACATGAGATGTATAGTCCTCTCTAGAGACAGTGATTTTATTTCCTTCAGAAAAATATGTAGAAGTGGGATTTCTAGATTGTATGGTAATTCTAGTTCTAATTTTTTGAGGAACTACCACACTACTTTTCATGGTGGCTGTGCCAATACAGATTCCCATCAACAGTGCACAAATGTTCCCTTTTTTGCACATCCTCTCCAACACTTACTATTTCTTGTCTTTTGACAACGACCATTCTGACAGGTATGAGGTAATATTTCACTGAGTACAGGTCTTTCACCTCCTTGGTTAAATCTATTCTTACATACTTTATTCCTTTTGATGCAACTATAAATGAGGTTGTTTCCTTGATTTCTCTTTATGATATTTAACTGTTGATTCCCTATTGTTCCAAGGAAGATAATTTGGAGGATACTATTCTGAATAAATCTGAAGTTGTGATATACTAGAGTATTTTCATTTTTAACAATAAATAAAAACTTAAGAAGAACATTTTTTTACATAGTTATTTTTAAATAGGGAAATTGCTTCTTGAAACCCCACTATAATGAAATATAAAAGAGATACACTCTCATTTCAAATTTTTCCCCCCTGCTTCTTTGAGTACTGGCTAAGTTGTTCTTACCTTGTAGTAGTTTTCATCAGCACGAAGTGCTTTGGAAAGTCCAAAATCACTGATCTTGGCATAATGTTGAGTAACCAGCAATACGTTTCTTGCAGCCAGATCTCTATGCACAAAATTGCACTCCTCCAAATACTTCATTCCCATAGAAACCTGATGAACCAGCTCTATGATGTTCTTATCTTTGACATGCCTGAAAGTCAAGTGTGTCATTAGTGATGAGGGATAGTAGTCCATTTCAGAACAACCAACTGTGCTCCTCACACACAAAGAAGGCACGTCCACTCATTTCCTATTCTTCTTAAGCAAGATTCACCAGTGGTGACAGATAACCTTGTTAACTTATAACTTTTCAAAAGTAAACACCATTTTCCCAGTGTTGAACTGGTCCAGTTTTCAAGGCTTGCTTTGAGTTGCATGAAAAACAGAATAATGGGGTGGTGAGACCTGGCTCAAGGAAAGCCAGGCTTGGGTTGGAATCCTTGCTCCAAAACTGGACAGAAAACAAAACCAACCCTGAGTCTCAGTTTTTTACCTGTGAAGTTGGGGTAACACCTTCCTCTTATGGAGATTAAAGACAATCTAAGTAAAGCACAACCTAATGTAGCAAATGGTATTAAATAACCAGTGGCTATTCCTATTAGTATTTGGCTCGAGTTCTATTTTAACAACGGCTTTAGAGGAGAGTATAGCAATGGATGTTTTCAGAATTACTCATGGGAACGTAGAGGTCAGCCAGACTAAGTTACCACTGTTATGTCCTATAAAATGTTTATTAAATATTTTTTTAAAAAAGCATGTTTTTTCTAGTGAAGTGGTATTGCCTGCCAAGATATTCCAATGCTGTTTCTATCACTGGGCAAATACAGAGTGAGCAAAGGAGAATGAAAACCAAATTTTGGGATTAGGGTTTTTTGCAAAAAAGTAAACAAACAAAACAAAAAAAGCAAAACAAAACAAAAACAAACAAAAAACCCCACATACTTGATTCAATGACTAAAGCTATTTCCCCTTCTCTTGCAAGGTTCCTGGATAGCATGGGAGGAGAGAGGCTTCCCTAAGAAACCAGGCTACTAGACTACTATGTGTGCTGGCATGTGGGCCCTTCCCTTTGCAGCATGAACTTCTGGGGTCCCTAAAGATACCTGTTCTGCTGTAAATATTTATTGAGTGGACCAAGTTCTGCCATCTCCATAACCAGCATCCAGGACTCAGCTTCACAAATCCCGATCATGCGCACAATGTAAGGGTTGTCCAGCTGCTGCATGACGTTGGCTTCTGCTAACAGCTCATCCTTCAGAGCTGGGTCATTGGCCTCATTTTTCAGGATTTTCACAGCCACTGTTTTCACAACTCTGCAAAAGAAATAACAGTGCATAAGAAACTTTTTCAAAGTGGCTCACTTTCAGATAATTATCTTCTAGAAATGGGGCTATACAAATAACAGCAACAGAATGGAAATGCACCTTAAAAAAACATGCTATAAGTGACTAGTTTTCCAATAATGTTCTGTCATTTTATAAACAAAGAGAGTAACACTTCATTAGTTAAAAATAAAGGGGTAGGGGGTGGTGCTGAAGAATGTCCCTACTAAGCAGAAAGCCTAAATATGACAGAAATTTAAATAATTTTCAAATAGACCTTATAAACTATGACAAAAAAGGACACCTATAACATGTTGAGATTTACCATCTCAGATTATGTGTAATGTATGCAAATACAACACCCCTTTAATATATAGATGCAGAAATAAAAAGCATATGTTGTTAAAACTCATAGTTTACAAAGCACTTTTAAACTAAGCTTAATTTTAAGCAAGCCTCAATGAGTTTGCAAAAAATTATTTTTTATTTTCTAATACAAATATCACATAGGTCATGCTTGAACTCTTACAAACATTTTGATGTAGTGAACATAAATTAATGGAATTTAACTATGCATGACTTAGAAAACTGAATCTCTCTGTGATACAATTCCTACAAATACAGGACATATAGCTCTTTTGGTGAACTCCAAATGGGAGAATAAAACAAGAACTATCCAATAAAACAGGTAAAAATGAGTCTAGCAGATGAAGTCTGACATACATTCAGACAAGTACAGACAGCCTCAGTGTAGAACTTGATGTGTGCTTATGCACTGGACACACGCTGTTACTCCCACACAGATGGAGGCACAGAACACCATGGGTGCTGCAGGAGCCCACAACCCCCACCCCCAACACCATCCACCTCCAGAGATCATGGAAATATTGTCCTATGCTGTCTCTAGACAGTTTATTGTTTTGCCTTCACATTTCATTCAACCATCCATCTGGACTGGTTTTGTATAACAATGTGAGGTAGGCATCAAAATCAACAAGCAAAAATCTTTTGATTCTTCCCAATGTTTAAGAAAAAAATAATATCCATGGCCTCTTCCAGGACAGAAAAGAGGAAAGGAACTTTATAACTCATTTTTATAACGTCAGCATTACCCTCATGCCAAAACTAAAGAAATTACAAGAAAATAACTTATTGATATCCCTCATGAACATAAATGCAAAAATTCCATGAGAAATAACAGAAAGTTCAGTGAATTATGAAAGAGATATTATGAATATATAATTCATGAATAAGATGACTTTATTATAGGAATTCAAGGTTGGTTTTATACTTGAAAATCAATCAGTGTATAATTTACCACATTATACAATAAAGGAGATAAATGTATGTTTATCCCAACAGAGGAAAAAAAAGTATTCAATAAAATGTACTACACACTCATGATTAAAAATAAATCTCTCAGAAAAATAAGAATAAAGGTAAACTTTCTTTATCCAATAGGAGCAGTTATAAACCTAACAGTGAAACACTGAAAATTCTTCCCCGAAATCAGGAATGAGGAGGGAGGCTATAGCTACTCTACCCTACGCTGAACCACAGTTCCTGGCTAATACCTTAAGACAAGAAAGAAATATAAGAAGTATAAAGATTAAACAGAATGAAATATAACTGTCATTCATAGATGAGTCTCCCTGGGTCAAAGACCACACAGATAAACTACTAGAAATAACAAGTTAGAAAAAAGAGGTGAATTCAGCAAAGTTGCTAGGTATCTGGTCAACAGGCAAAACTAGTTATATTTCCATATCAAACCAACACAAGGGATAAGCAAATAAAATTTTAAAAATTATACCACATATATTAATATCAAAAGTACTAAATACCTACAAATGAATCCAACAAAAATAGTTGTGCAAGACCTCAACACAGAAAACTAAATAACTCTGCTGAGGGAAACCTGAGAGAAATTACAGATGACTCATGGAAATGGAGGGACAGGTCATGTTTATTGATTGGAAGACTCAATATTGTAAAGACCTCTTTCTGCCCCAAATTAACCTGTGAGGCCTTTCCTCTCCCCAAGCCCTCTAAGTTGAATTTATGTTCAAGGGGAGACCCAAAACACCTGGAATTTATTTATTAAAATTTGTGCACTTATTCTTAAATGTTTAAACTTCAGTCACCTTCAAAGTATTTTCCATTTGAGGAACTGGAGAATATTAGGCTAACTGAAATAAACCAGTTGATGAAAGACAGATACCATCGGATCTCACCTATAAGTGGAATATATATTCAACAAAATAAACTAACAAACAAAATGAACCACAGGCATGGAACCATGGAGCAGACTGAAAGTGACCAGAGGGAATGGGGGAAGAAGACAATGGTGGAAAGAAGGGGAAGGGACTAGACAAAGAACATGTATGAATGACCCATGGACATGGACCACAGAGTGGGAATTGACTGTGGGAGTGGGGAGATGGGGGTAGGATGGGTGGATGGGGGTAAAAGGGGAAAGATTGAGACAACTGTAATAGAATAAGCATGATTTATAACTTAAAAAAATGTAAAAAAAAAAAAAGTGTTCTCCATTTGATGTAATACACCTATTGAGATATTTCTTCCACTGCTCAAAACAGTTTCTGAACTCATCAATTTTGATGCCTTTTAGTGCTTCTGCCATTTTTTGTTTAACCTCTTCTATATTGGCAAAATGTTTCCCTTCGAGGACTTTTTTCATTGGGGAAACAAAAAAAAGTTGTTCTTGGGGTGAGACTGGATAAATAGGGAGGGTGGGCACGAGGGTCATGCCATTTCTGGTCAAAAACTGATGAACACTCAGCGTGGTGTGGGTAGGTGAGCTCATAAATTATCCATCATGAAATGGTCAAACTCATTGAAAGAGTCTTCAAAAAAATTCACTGAAGCTGAACGCAGCCTCTCACAACAATGCCAGCTGGTACACCGAAACTGATGGGTTCCTAGAACACTCACATAGCAGCGGAAACCTGTACTACAAGGTGCCGCGCTCCAGAATGTAATTCTGGTTTTTTTGGGGTGTCTCCCCAGTATCTATAATCATGTTTGTTAATTTATATATATAATTAAGCCAGAAATTTAACTATCAGAAAGTAGTTGTGAAAATGTATACCTTAATACAGGATAATTTAAGCCCATTTTACAAAATGACTGTGGTATATATACATATATTTTAAATAAGTGTATTATTCAAAAATGTACATATACACACACGAAAGAACAGGATTGAAAGCAAAACTTTCTGTGCTTACTTTTATCTGTATTTTTGATTCTTGAATTATGCAAATTACTTACTCAAAAGGTAATTTACAAAAATTTCTTAAATTTAAAATATCATCTAACAAAAAACCCAGCTTTATTCATATCAGTAACATACTAATTCAAACGTTTAGAAACCAGTATTTTTACTGCACATTCTCTGTGGATTGTCTTCTAAAGAACAAATGAAGTACAAAGAGATTTTAGTAGTTTAGCAATTCTAATTGTTATATAATATGTACTGTTATTTGAAATTACAGGATAAAGCAAGTAAATGATTATACTAATAATATTCGAAATTTGGACATTTCTGAGTAAGAGAACTGAGACACAATTTTTAAAAATCAAAGAAAATAAGTAGATAACACTGTTACTGAATTATTGCATTTTAATTAAATAACACATATGTGTGTGTGCATATAAAGATCCCCCACACATACACATACACTACAGGTGGTTAACAATAGTAGTTTTTGGGTGGTACAAATAGTGTGTTTTTATATTCTTATGCTTTGATTGTCTCTATTTTCTAATTTTCTATAAGACACATGTACTATGTCCAAGCTAACATACATAATTATTATATCTTAATATACATAATGGATATTTTCATGGTAATTGTATCAGAAATGAACAAAGATTATATTGTTAATAAAAACAGATCTAGCTATGGTGGGTTACATTTTGTGTTTGGGATTAAGTCAACTTAATACGTACATACATAGTAGTTTCTAGCATTTCAACTCAACATGAGAAATAAGTGTGGCGTGATGGTGCAAAGCTTTTGACTTACTTTTTCATCTGGTAGTAGCCCTTCTTCACAGTGCCAAAGTTACCAGAGCCCAGTTCTTTGTCTTCCAGGGTCAGCAGCTTCCGGTCCAGGTAGACCTCCTTGGGCCTGATCTCCTCAGGGTCCGCATAGGGGCTTTCATACACTCCTGTGTCCATTGGCAAGGCTTCCCTCTGGGTTTCTGCAATAAAGTCAAGAAACATACAACCCTGGGGCTGGATCCTTAGTAAAACCCCAGCATTTACCACTCCGACCTCCTGTGTGACCACAGCTTCCCTTTCAAGATCTTGGCCACTTTGGGTAGTTATGGTGCCAGTGAGTATTCAAGGTATGGTCTCACCCAGTTTGTAAGGGGGCAGCAAAAAGCCCCTCATGCCCATTGTTCTTGACTCCCACTCCTGCATTAATGTTTATTAATAAAGAGTCTTTCATGTCAGAGGCAAAGACAGATGGAGCCTTCCTCATGGGCTGCAGTGACTTTTACTCTGTCTGAAAATTTTGACCCTCCTTCCATTGAGAGATACAATCTATGTCACTTCCCCATAGTGGCTTTTGTAACTATGTCAGTTAACAGAGCCTATCAGAAGTGATGTTTATGACATGCTCTGGAGAGGTTATAAAAGGCTTATTTTCTAGAAACCTGGCTCTTGAAGTTTCAGACGTCATATAAGGAGCCCAACTGCCCTGGCATATTCTGTGCTGTGAGACGGTTCAAGTTATATGGAAACGCCAGGCTGAGAGGCCCCAACACTAAGTGGAGAGGGGTAAATGCTGACTAACCCCTAGACCCCCGGCCTCACCACAGCCTTCACCCCTGCTGGCCCAATCTGCCTGTGAGAGGCCCCAAAGCACGACTACTCAACTGAGCCTTGCCCAAATTCCTGACCTGCAACAGATGAAGGAGAGATCAATTAAATAACTGTTGTTGTTTTAAGCTACTAAGTACTGGGGTGGTTTTTATCGCAATGCACAGACCAAGTCACTAATAAAAAAATGACTTGAGGTCACCTAGAGAACCGAAGTCATCCAGAGGTCCTGCTTCTGATAAGAAGTCCAGTAGGGGGCTATTGAGTTCATTGAGAGCAGTCACCCTGAGCTGCAGCCTCTGTGGCCTCATACAACCACCACAATTCCCTAACCATGTCTGCAATTCCAACAGCTCAGACATCTGTTCAGGTTCTCATTACTGCACTCAGCTGAAATGTATTACTGGACATAAACATCTTTCAAAGAACACAGTATCAAAAATGTGAGCTTTGAGCAGTATTGGTACTGCAAGAGATGACTTCTGAAGCAGCAGCACTGAAGAACATTTTCAGTGTGGCCAATTCATTGTGAGGGAGGCTATGCAGATCACTTCATCCAGCAGTAAATGTTGGTGACTAAAAGGGTGTCTCTCACCTCTATCTGCAGTCCAGGGCCCTGGATCTGGCTCATAGGGATTGAACGTCATGGAGCTCTCTGGACGGTTCCCCTGAGATGAGGAGGCCTGAAGCACACAAATAATATGTCATGTCTCTCCATTGATACTCTGTTGAGTTGACGTAATTTTTACTTTTAAGTAATCACATTTAATGTATGCAGAGAAGAGAAAGGGAAGAATGAGAAAGAAAACAGGAAAAAAACAAGGCTTATCTCATTCTTTGGGCAACTGCTTGGATCCTGTGAGGGCCAAATGCAGCTCACAACTGACCCCATAACTCCCAAAGCCTGCCAGGGCCTCAGACACTGCTAGGAGGAGTCACTCAATCATTCCGGCAGGATTCCCTCCCTACTTACAGCTCTCTCAAATCCTATCTGCATCTCCCAAAACATACTGCAGGTATTCTTTATCCCCTTGGATTCATTTTCCTCCATTAACTCTTTCTCTTCAATATATGGAAGCTATTTTAAAACAAAGATGAAATATCCACTGGCTGCTCTACTCACTCCCTCATTCCACAGCATCTATGCAGATGGAGTTTTGGCCTCTGTCTTAAGCTTCTGTGAAGATCTAGTGACATTTGAGTGATGTCAGAGGGTAGCACTGGACACTCAGTAACCATCATGATCATCATCATCACCGTGGACTCTGTGAGGTGGAAGCCTCTTGCTAACCCGAGAAAAGCAATTCTTCTTGTACCCAGAGCAGGTAACTGAAGTGTATCAAAACAAAGTTTTGCTGGCTGTTATTGGTATCAATTTGCATCATGAAATCATGGCGGGGGAGAGGTAATCTTGATATTCCTGTAATTCTTTGAAAGTTTCTATCTCAAGTGTTCCTTACCCACCCACAAGGGCACTGCTACTAAATTTAGCTCATGGGAAAACAACAATTCAAACCATTTGTTTTTGGTGTGAGCTGAGGTAGAAATTTTATATATCCATTGACCTTATTACTGTTCAAGAAGTGGCCACGAAGAAATGAGACACTGCCAGATGTTGGAGACATTTAAAAAAACAGACATTAAGCTGAACTGTAGACAGTCACTTATCTCCTGGCACAGAATGGTACCCTTGACTGCCTTCCTCACGGCACAGTCCCAGGAATCAAAGGTACAATAACAAAGTCACAATGTGCCACAGCCACCACATGGCCACTTGTGTCCTAAACTTTGGCTTCCTTCTGCACGCTATCTTGTACTACAGAGCCATGGCTAATAGCGACAAAGGCCTGTTTGACGTGGCTAAAGGATACCCGCTTTCATGTGTTAATAGAATGTCACTGGATCCATATGGATTCTCATGACTATCTCAGCATTCTTACTGAATTGTTTATAGAATTAGCTATGATAGATCAGGTGTGAAAATGGAATCTAAGTTCCAGGGGACATAGTAATTCATTCATGGCATTAGAGCTTTGTGAGGCCCACTGTTTGTGCTTAATAAAAATGTGTCAAAAAGACATGTGATGGATGAAAGATGTGAAGTGTAAACTCATATGCTTTAAAATGAGTTCTCTTTCAGTCTCTATATTAACAGAGGGAAACCGGTGTGCATAATTCCAAATGACAATCTATCTTTTAGAAATTTTCATATGATCACAGGACTATTGAATGTGCTATGAATTCACATCTCACTCGTTATACAATTACCCTGTCTTGGCAGAAATGTTCTAGGAGAAACTAGCAATTCCCAAGGCTCTTCATTCCCACCTTTGCTTGGTTCCCTCCTGCAATCAAACTCCAAGATAGACATAGTTTGCAAATTTAAAAAAGTCTCTTTTTGGTTCACATTCTATCATTTCAACTTCTCTGATTTTCTCTGCAGGTAGGTAAGTTACAAGAGCCACAGACAAAACTTCAGGATTCCAAGACACAAAGAGGGCCCAATACACCTTCTCTTCACGTCAACCCCTCCTGCCCTCTGCCTGCTTAAGATGATATCCTGGGGCTGTTGCCTCTCCATCCTGAGAGAATGTTCTCCAGAGCAGGTAGACTTCATAAACACTGTTCCAATTAAGCTGGAATGTAATTATCTGACATATGACTCCTGAGGAGAACACTAAAACAGAGCTAGGGTGTAAAACAAAGTACTGAAAACTATACGAGGGCCTCAGGACTAAGTCGGAATGAGTAGTGATAAATGCAGCAAACTTGCCCTGGACAGAATAATGCATACTTGAGTTGGTGGAGGGGTGTTCACCCCCAGTCTGTCTGGACTATGGATAGCGAATGGGTTGAGAGTCTCCTGTGGAAGGTGGGGCCATGTTTTCACTCGAGGTGGTTCAGGGCTTCACTTCAGCACTGCCGCCACAGACCACCACCGCATGATTACAGGCTTCAGAGCCTAGCCGAGCCCCACATTGCCCTCAATGACCACTGCAGCTCCCCACCTGGATCCCTTGCCTCCTGCCTAAACCAGGACAGAGGATGGCGTTACACTTGGGAGGGTGTTCTATGGGAGACACCGGAGGTTTCCTGTTGTGTCAGTTAAAAGGGCAGTGGTGACTTCATGGTGAAGATGAAGATGTGAAAGCATGTTTCATCTTTTTTGAAACTGTTTGCAACAACAATAAAAACTTTCTGAAATCAAATGTTTGGGGAAAGAAGAATTTGAAGACTTTACGATGAATGATCTCATAAGGCATAACAGTAAACTATAACAGTACTGATTAGTATTTTTAAATGAAATTTTAATTTAATAAAAAGCATATTGTTGTTTTACTATACCACCGGTCATTATTCAGCCTGCTTTGTACTTGATGATTTATTTTTCCCTTATCATTAATACCACCTTTTCTGCTTTGAGCATAAGGTATAAAGGAACATTGACAATTGCTTTTTTCCTATTTTTGTTGATACTCAAAACAGAATTTAATTGGCAGAATACCACTAGATGGCACTAGCTACCTTAGCTTTCTACCTTGCAAAGAGCATGCTGTGATTTCCAAGTTTTATAAATTCTGGTAAAAACAGATCACCCCGCAACAACAAAATAAAAAATTAGGTTAGGTTATAAATTATAGTTCCCAGTCTCTTTTTTTCCCCAGAATTAACTGCAAGTAGAAAATGTACTTGACAAATATTCATTGAGTGTGTACTTTTAAGTAGTGGGGATTCAGAAGTTAAAAAAAAGAGAAAAAACATTGCTTTTATGGAGCTGACAAGCTAATTCAGAGTTTCCGGATATGGGATTATTGTGCGTGTCCTAGGAATGTCCATTTCTAGACCTTAATTTTTAAACTTTTTGAAAGACATTTTTGAATCAGGCAATAATGATAATAAAGGTAAAGTCATACTTGTTAAAATTGCAGTGACAAAAAAAACCCAGTAGGTTTCAGAAATACTGGCTGCCACAAGCTGACATGGCTCTGGTCTCTGGTGGAATGATTGTGGTCCCAAAGGGAAATGAGGTCCCACAGCTGAGGGCACCCCCTCCTCAGCCAGGGCATGGGGTAGTATGCGGTTTCCTTCAGATACACGGAGATAAACACTTGACCTTCACAATTAATCTTCCCTTACCTTAGAAGCAAAGATATACAATCTCCCTCTTTACAATGATATAAAAACATTTTCTCCAGGGTCTGGCCCACTGCTTTGGCATTACCAAACCAGCATGACTTAAGAGCTTCTTTTTCTCCCTTCTTCTCTCCCAGGTGAATCCCAGTGAACTGTATATTTAAACGTCTTAAAATATTCCAATCTTCAATGTATGTGTTGGAATAGAACATGAAAAACAGACTTTAATGTGTAATTTTGGAACACATTTCCACTACATTTAACTAGATTAAATGTAAATGCTGTGTCTCAGAGAGTATGCATTTGAAATGTGGAACTCAAACACTGTCTTTAATTCTTTAAGGATTCTGTTCAAACTCTGCCAATCTACTTTAACAGAAGGATAGGTGTATGTACTTATAGTAGCAAACAAAAATATCCCAGGGCTAATAATAGGAGGGATTTTCTTAATTTAAATACTATCAGTCCTTAAAGTTAAGTGTATGGCAGGACAGGGAGATGGCAAATCATACTTGTATTCCTTAGTTAAATTCAGGTATATTTGTAAGTATTGAAAAGTTACTAATATCTAAAGAAAAGTTTAAAATACACCTGCTTTTAAGTTTTTATTATAAGCTTTAAAATTATTTGATTAATAAATATCTTCAAATAGAATGTACTCATTAACTACCTACATGCTAGATTTAAGTCAAGCTTTAACATGTACTTTTTTGTTGCCTGAATTATTAAAAACTATTTATATTGATAAAATTAACAAATTCAGTAAGTTATTTATAACTTAGCTAAACAAAATATTTGACATAATTCCCAACAGTCTTTTCTCATAACTGGTTAAACAATGGGAAATCCCCTCCTTCTTGTGAAAACATAAATATTAGTTCTCCCAAAATATTTCTGATCAGCAATTAAAATACTTTCAATTTATAGCTTAAATCACACAATTCTTTTATCTATTTACTGATATTTCTGGCATCTATGAAAATTCGATGAATACTTCAAAGCTGTTATAAATAAGACCCTATTTTGCCAGAAAAGTATTTTCACGGTATTAATCAGAGTAATTATTTTCTAGTATTTAATTCTTTAAAAATGATTAAATAATTTTAATAGGTGCAAATTTAAAAAGGCACAACAGGTTTTACAATGAAAAGTGGGTCTCCTTGACACCCGCTGGTTCCTCCCAAGGCAACTATTGTTACTAGTATTTTCTGCATTCTCCCAGAATATTCTATACTATACTGGCACAAACAAATGTATATGGCATTGCTGTCTGAAATTAACATTGGATTTTGGAAACAATTTTAGTTCTCAGCTGCCTCCTATAGTATGTACTTTACTGTAAATCACTTCATTTATTTTCCATTGATAGACTTTTAAGTTATTTCCAGACATTGTTAATTATGCAATGCTGGAATAAACAACTTCATATATACAGGATTACATATAAATGCAAGAATATGTGTATAAATACTTAGAAATAAAATTGGAGTTAAGTTATATGTGCTTTTAATTTACATGGGTGTTGTGAAAATGCTGTTCTGAGAGATGGCATCATTTCACACTTCAACAAAGTGTGAAAGTGCTTATTTACCACATTTTTGCCGCCCACTCTGTCCCCAAGCCATTTTCTTTGGGATCAGTTTCGCAGGTGGATGTAACAGAGTCCCACAGCTTTAACTTGCATATCTCATTATATAATGGAACATCTTTGCCTATGCTTAAAGGCTATTTATATTTGCTTTCCTATAATCTACCTACTGACATTCTCTGTCCAATACCCTCATAGATAGTTAAAACTTTTATTGCTTTATAGACTCTCTTATATATTAAAGATAGCAATCTTACATGTATCATCATTACAAATACTTACTCTCAGTTCACTATTTCTGTTTTGATGTTATGATTCTTATCCATGATTCCTGATTTTTATGTAGCCTTGCTAATATTTTCTTCAACTTTCTTTAGACATGTTCTCCTTTACTCTAAAGATCTATTAAAACTTATTTGCTAGATTTCACTTTAGTCAATATGAGTGACCTGAGCTGGCTTCAGCCTGCCTGGGACACTGATGGGGGAGGGTAAGTGGCTTGTCCCCTCAGAACCCCAACTTCTTCAAATGTCAACCTGGCGAGCCTGAGCTGAAGTCTTCCATTGCAACAAACCATGATCTTGGCAATGCTGGGAAGAGATTTTACAGATGTAATTAAAATCCCTAATTAGTTGACTTAAATTAGTTGATTATTTTGGGTGGGCCTGACTTAAATCAGTCCAGAGTCCTTAGAAGAGAGTTGAGGCTTTTTGAGGAGAAAAAGGTGAGAGGTGCACAACTGACCCCTGGCTGTGGGTGACAGCTCCATTTGTGCCTGAGGGGTTCCATCCTATCTTGATCATCCCTTCCTGATGGTCTGCTTATGTAGCCCCTACAATTGTGTAATGCAAGTCCTTGTGTTAAATCTCTATGTGTGTATTGGTGTATATGCATACATTACATATATACGTGTGTAGATATTATATATGTACATATGTGTATTATACACGTACCCATATGTGTGTGTGAGGGCGTGTTTGTTTTATACATAAACCTTCAACTGGTCATGCTCCCCTGGTTGAACTCTGAATGGTGATACACGTGCAAACCACAGAATTAAGATAAATGTGGAATGCTGTGTCTACTCTGTTCACAGTGAAACCGCTCACCTCAGGGACTGCACCAGAGCTGGGGGGCTATGCATTGGCACATATGCCTTGGGCCGTTATGAAGAGCATGATGAATAAACAAGGGTGCGAACTGGAGGTGTGGCCCTCATCCACAGGGAGCTTCTCTGTGCCTGCCAAGCAAACCCTGTGAGTGGAGTGGCCAAGAAAGCTGGGGGAGGGAGGAGTTTTGAGGCTGCTGATAGGATGCTGGGCAAACTGTGTGTCCTGTCCTGTGTCATTCTGTGAAGCTTTGTCAAAGCAGCATTTGATTAAGAACTCCAGTACTTTGGGTTTGACTGCCACACCATTGTGGGAAGTCACTAATGTGAACTGAATTTGTAATTGTAACTTTGAAAGGACGATTTACAACAGAAAAGCACCCTAAATCAGAATACACTTTGAATCGTATTAGTTGATGGGGCATCATCTGGTTTATTTCCTACTGGATTATAGTCCTGTGAGGTGCCATCCTGGCACCAAGTGGAGCCCTCTCCCAGGGAAGGGGCGAATGCTGCCAGGGGTTCAGGGCCAGGTGGGCCAGAGGGGGCAGCTGTGGAGGTGTTTGCCTTGGATCATGGGGAATGTGGACCTTTTTAAGTTCAAAGCTTCAATCACCTCCTGGGCCTCATCTTGAAACAAACCCCCAATTTTGGAGCAAAAGAAACACTGACATAGAGAATGTATCCCCTTGACAACCTGGCCCCCAGCTCCTAACATGTTGCCCCTTCAAGGGCAGCCCTCACTGGAGCCCCTGGAAGTGACACTTTTGTGGGCTGATCCATACTGACTGGGAATGCAACATTAAAATAAAGTTGTTATTCAGGCTTATCACATAACCTTCCCCCTCAAACATGACTTTAAATTCACTTCTGTGTGGTCTATGTTCTATGGTCAACAAGACTGAGAATGTCTTGAGTATGATTGCCCCCTGGGAAAATTTTTACTAAAAAAGACCTGAGAGCTTTTATGGTTTCATGAGGGGGGACCCAAAACACCCAAAATTTATTTATAAAAAATTGTGTATTTATTCTGACATGTTTAAACTTTAGTCACCCTCAAAGTACTCTCCATTTGATGAAATTCACCTACTGAGACCTTTTTTCCCCCCACTGCTCAAAACAGTTTTTGAACTTGTTGATTTTGATGCCTTTTAGTGCTTCTGCTGTTTTTTGTTTCACCTCTTCCACATGGGCAAATTGTTTCCCATTGAAGACTTTTTTCATCAGGGAAACACAAAAAATTGCTCTTGGGGCAAGATTAGATGAATAGGGAGGGTGGGGCATGGGGGGGTCATGCTGATATTTGGTCAAATACTGCTGAACACTCAGCACAGTGTGGGCAGGTGCACTTGTAAATTGTCCACCAGGAAATGGGCAAATGTGTTGAAAGAGTCTTCAAAGAAAATTCACTGAGGCCAAACACAGTGTCTCATGAGATTCCACCTGGTACACCGATACCGATGGGTTCCTAGAACGCTTACCTAGCAGAAGAAGCCTGTGCTACAGGGGCCCACCCTCCTGAAGACAATTCTGTTTTTTTTGGGTCCCTCCTTGTATTTTCTGTTTCTCATTAGTACTTTAGGCAATCTGCTTCATGAGTTGGTGCCCAGTGATAATGCTGAAATGTTTGGGGAAATACCAGCTGATATGAAAATGGAAACAATTATTAATAAAAGAATCAATTTTACACCACCAATGATAAAAACAGAAAGGGAAAATAAACAATCCATATACATAAGGGAGGTTATTCATTATAAGTCAGTCATTAAAAAAGAACTTATTAATTTCCCTCATAATTCAATCATATAGCAAAATATAAAAATGCATCATATGTCAATCTTACTGCATCATAAACAAAACTGGCATTCCTAATCCTATAATTCCATCTCATCTTTTTATGTGTTGTATTTAAAGTTCTGTGTGGGAAATTTATATCCATAATGAAGTTACTGAGGCACTATATATCTATGAAATATACACGCTTAGGCCCTCACTATGCAGTATTCACAAAACCTTGGTGTTCCACCTACCAACATGTGATTTATATCATCAGTCACCCTATCACTGCAACATATCATTCTGGCAACTCTAAAGTAGCCTGGCTTACTTGGAAAAGATTTTCCAACATGAGAATCAGCTCCCATCTATCATGCTGACCGAGATGACTTTCAAGTGCACACATCAGCAGAGATAGCATGTGCATAGGTGATGGACTTTGCAGCAAAGTGTCCAGGACTCACATGGAAAGCACAGTGCATGCCCAGGTGGGCTGCCCATGAGGGCTACACATGGCAGAGACATGGGGCCAGAGCAGTGGGAGCGGGGGGCAGGGTAGAGCACACGGAGGGCAGCCACTGGGCAGAGCACAAGTGCTGAGTGCGGCTCAGTCCTGCCACTTAGTCAGGGACAGCAAGCAGGGGATGTTTTAGCACCTTTTTGTGGGCAGGCTTTAAGAAGGAGCGTGATGCGAATCTTGAGATTATTCCACTTGGTGACCAAGTCTAGAAACCATAATGGCAAAAAGGAACAGTAAATGTTTCAGAAAACAAATACAGGCTAGGTACATAACATGCTATTTTAACATGCTTTATAAACCAACCAGACCCTCCAGGTTTTGCCCATGTGACTCAGCTGATCATTGGGAATATTTCAAGAAAAGCTGAGCCCCTGAGCAGAAGGACCTGGAAGAGCATTTGGGTACTATTTCCCACAATAGGCTATATAAAACTAGAGCTGTTACATTAAATGGTCCATGTTTCATAGAGAATTATTAAGTTGCAAACTCAAGTAAATTGTTGTAAAGAAACCAAAAGATAATTTGAGTGCTCAATTTTGTTACTTCAATGACGGTTCCCATGTGTTTGTGGGAATTCACTGAGTTAAACACTTAGGGCACATGCATTTATTTCTTCTGTATGTATCTCATCAGTCAATAAAAAGTTGTTTAAAAAAATCTAATTTCTTGGAGCCAATAGGTGATAAATGGCTAAATATAGGGCTTGATATTCTTTTAGTTCTCAGCACTAATTTATCTTTGAGGAAAAATAATCTGTCTCAAGGCATACACATGGTAGAGTTGACAGGCCCATGAGCCATGAAGAGAGTAAAATAAAATGACCCCTTAAAGGTGCTTTATTTTAGACATTGACCCTAAAGTTCACTGACAGTTTAGCAAATTTCAGGTGCCCCAATCTGGTGGCAGATTCTGTCCCTGGAGAGACCCCAGTTTTAACACAGGCACAGCTTTTGACCAGTCCCTGGTCCCCATGGGGGCAGAAAGTGTGTTCTGCACTCTGCATATTTTTTTTAAGGGTTAGACAAAAAGTGAGGTGTAGAGCACACAGTTCACAGTGAGGTAATTGTTACACTTCATGGATGGCATGAACTGGAATCAAAGGTCCACAGTGAGGTCCTCCAGGAAGAGCAGGAAACCACGTTATGCTTTGTGTCTAAAACTGTACAGCAGTGCATCACACGTGGAGGAGGGAGGGATGGGATTCTCTCTCTGTAGAAGCATCAGGCACATTTTGGGCAAACCCATGTGGAGAAGTATGGACAGGCCACATTCTCGCCTCCTACGGACAGGGAAGGGGAGAGGGGTTCTGGCCTGGTACCCGAAACTACACTTCCCTAGGGCTCCTCTCTCGTGTCACCCCTTCCTTAGTCTTCTTCTGCTAAGCTACTGTCAAGCTGGTTCTTCTCGAAAGGGCAAGGCTTCTAATAATGATGGCTTGTTTGATTTAACCAAATGAATCGGGCAGAAAACATCATCAAGACATCATAATGCCAGACTTGTTACACGAACCAAGGTCATGTGGATCATGCCCATGTGTCTATACTGGGGGTTCAAGGCTGAGCCTGGAATCTGCAGGAGGCATATTTTTGACTTTACATTGGGTTTCACGGTCATTTTGTATACTTTTAGTAAATGTACAGAATTTAACCTACCAAAAAAGTTAATTTGGCTAGCCTGGAACTGGAATCAGGCTGATTCTAGCTGCCATCAACAATCCCAGTTTATCAAGTGTGATAAAAACAACAATCACCACTACTCCCATTAGCCAAAAAATGCTTTTCACTGCACTAACATACAACTGCTTCACCTCTAGTGGTATTTCTAGTAACACTTACCGCTGGATGGGCACTTGGAAGTTGTGGACCATTTCCTGGTGAGAAAAGTGGATGATTACTGCTCTACCAGTGAAAACCACCATGTATCCCCTTCCCACAGCTGATCAATCAATGTCATTGTAAAATGCTGCTTCCTGAAAAGCAGGTGCAGTTTCTGCAATATTTCTTTTTATTATTTTACTCAACTTTCTCACCCATGCAATTAGCACTAGCTTTTTAAAGTTAGCTATTTCTTGATCAATGATATTACGTAAAATTGGAGCAATGTGACACTTATAATCAGTCAGTAAAAGGAAGGCCTCATCTCACCTGAATTGCAACAGGCTGAATCTAAAACAGGGCTGATTATTATCAGATTATTATTATTCTCTAAGAGACTGAGATTCCAATGCCTTAGTGACTCACCTGTTTGCCGGCCAATTTTTTGACATGGAACAGTAAGAACTCTTAACAAACCATCTGGTTTATACGAATAATGTTCAACTAGCTGTAATAGAAGAAAGTGAGAAAGTACAATAAATAATGGATGCAGGAAAGGGAATCCTACCTGGAGTGGCTGAATCCCCTTTCAAACTTTAAAAGTGGTTCAAGGACAACCCTTAAGAAGGTCAGCCTGTAACTTCCTTGTTTGTCTGACCCCTCCCATGTCTCTCTTCCCGCCCTCAGACTCAGGACAGAAGTCCACATGCTGCCTTTCCTTCGTGATCCTACTCCATCTCCACTCACCCTCTTTCTCTCCCTCTCCCTCTCTCTGTCTGTCTCTCTCTCTGTCTCACTCTTTCTTTTTTGGTAGCAAGTTCCACTTACAGTATTTGTATTATCCTACATCTGTGTGATATTATAAAGGTGAACTCAGCATTCAGTCATCCAAAAAACATTCTGCTTCACTAAGCCCTGAGAGAGGACAAGGTAAACTCAGGTGAACAACACACATTTTCTGCCCTCGAAGTGCTTACTTTCTTGGTGGAGAAACAGATAGTGAGTGAAGTGCTTACTTTCTTGGTGGAGAAACAGATAAATAGTAAGTTATACTTTATTACAGTGCTGTTGGCAAAGGCTTTGGAGGGACCAAGTCAGTCAGCCCAAAAGTTTCAGAGAGAACACATCATAGCACAGGTGATGTAGGAGCTGGGACACAAGGAAAGGTGACCTTTTTGAAAATAACCTTCTACCCAAAGGACATGGACACCCTTGACTAATGGCTCCCAGAAAGTTATGATTATGATGTCTAATTTCTACATTAAAAAATAAATGACAAGTAGATTTATTTGTATCTTATCAAAATTATGCAATATTTTTCTCATTACAGATATTTTCTCTTCAGACAAGCTAAAATGTTCATATCTGATTATCTCTTCCTTGTCTGTTGGTACTCTTTCCAGTCCCAAAACTTACCTACTTGTATGAATGTTTGTTGAATGTATATATTTTACCTTTCCAGGTAACATTCTTTTTTCAAAATTTTAACTACTGTGGTAAGAATATAACATGAGAGCTACCCTCTTAACAAATGTTTCAATCATAATCAGCCCTAACTTGCTACTAGAATGGACCCCAAAGCTTTCCCTGTTCTGTTAAATGCAGTAGAATGTTCTCAGGTCAATAATATTGAGGTCTCTAAAACAGGTGAGATATTTCATACACTTCTCTGGAGTCATTCAAAAATCTCTTTCAATGCTTGTGTTTTTAGACAATCTATCCCACAAGGGTTGCTGGGTGGGGGGGTAGGTGTACATATGTAGGGATTTCCCACTTAAGGGTCTGAAAACTTTTTTGTAAAGGGCCAGAGAGTGATATTTTAGGTTTTTTCAGGTCACATACCATCTCTGTCACATAGTCCTTTACTTAAAACAATCCTTTATAGTATAAAAGCCACTTTCCTCAAGGACTACACAAAAACTGGCCAGGGGTCAGATTTAGCCTATGTGCACCAAAGGAAGGAATGCTATTGGAATAATTACCAACTCTCAGGAAAAAAATAGCACCAGAGCCCGAGGTAGGGCTAGGGCACAGAGGTTCCTTACTCTGCTGTTGAGAAAAACCCATGAAATCACACCTGTAAATATGAAAGTTACTTATAGCATTTTTGATGCTCTTTCTTAAACAAAGTGGCTAGAAAATATACAGTGGAAAGAATTTAATTAGGGCTGAATACTACAGTATGACAGAGAAATCAATAAATATGGGACAAAGTCTTGGGAAGGAACTTCCCAACAACTAGTAATGTTTGGCACTGCAGGTGCACAGTGACTCAAACTGTGAGTGGGCGCACAGGAGAAAAACCACCATTGGGGAGAAGCTGGGTGGCTGCACTGGTGTTGGAACCCAGAGCCTTCGAGCCCTGAAATGCACACTGTCAACACATCATACAAGAGTCATAAGACTTTGGTGGGAAGTTAATGCTGCAAGGCAGCATTCTCTACTCATCTCTTGAATTTTCAGTGGACTACTTAATAGGCTAAATGCTCTTTCAAATCAATACCATTAAAATAAAGCAAAGTCTGTAGTTGATAACTAGCCATACACTATGAGCTACAAACCAAAAGACAAGTTTGATGTTACAACTGATAATGAATAATATTGTAATACCCAGCATTTGGAGAAGCAGCATTTCTTTTACTCACTACAGCATTATGAACCAAAATAAATCATTTGGAGGTTACTCTAAGTGCATCAAAAGTAAAGGGGAATCCCTGAATTCAGTATTTAAAAAGATGGGATTTTAAGTTGGGATCTTTCCTTGCTGTTACCATGTATGAGGTTCCTGGCCAGACCTGGGTATGGATGTTTGCACACATCCCTCGCTCACAAAAGCTCAATGTAGTTGTTGCTCTCCGGGTGGCAGAGTCCCTTGGTTTTCTCTCTCTGCCCCACTACAGTACATAGGATGCTTTACTAAAATGCCATGGGCAGTGGTTTCATTTCTGCACAAAGCGGTGATTTAGTAAAAAGACAAGATAGTTATACCTGTGACAGCCCCATGGAAACCAGTGGTGAGCACTGTTTTAGTTAATGCTCACATTGCTAAAGCAACTCTCCAATTGCGGGTTGTTTCAGGGTTACTAATAGTTGGGTCAAGAAAAAACTGTTTATAGCAGAATGGAACAGTCCCATGTGGCAGGATGGTAGGAGCACAGGAAGTGCTGCCTTACTTTCTAAGTTTTCTTACTTTCTGTGGAGACTCATTTTTGCTGCAAAAATGGCACCCAACATTTTATATTCAACTCAGCCTCTCCCTACTTAAAGAAAGTAGGCTTGGCCATCTCAACCCCTCCTTCCCAGTCAAACACACCTTTATTTTGTGTGTCTTTGTTTTAAAAGTTGTTTTCTCGTCCCCAGTACAGGGGATTAAACTGTTGAACTCTGAACACAGCCCTGAGTAGCATCACCTTGAGGTTCAAGTCCTGTCTGGCCCTGAAGAAGATACAGAACCTGCTAGAGCCTCATTAACCTAACATGATGACTATAGACCAGCACTTTTTAAATATGGATATTGGCATGTGACACCTAGAAGTTGAAGAGCAGGCTCTGGTTGGGCAGGTCACAGGTAGGGACCCAGGTGTGTTTCTCTAACAGGCATCAGGGTTCCTGTGGCTCTCATTTCCCATGGTGCTGTGTACCTGCCAGAGTGTGTCGAACTTCTTGCCATCCGGGATGGAGAGCTTCCCCGTCTTGTCCTTGTCAATACGGTAGTGCAGCACTTTGCCCTCATGTAGCAGGCATAGGGCAAAGGACCCGTTGTTGTCCCTGGCCCTGATCCTGGAAGACAAGAAGAGTCCATCACTCCGGACCATCCCTCACTAAAGTGCCCTGAGCATGCCGCTGGCCCCAGCGCCTCCACCTCAGGGTCAAGGGCTTTGCCCACCATGCCCAGCAAGCCCCCAGTCACAGCTCAGTGACACCAAGAGCTCAGGACAAGAAAATCCTATGGCCTGGGGCTGGACCGCAGCCAAGGCTCAGGGGGCAAAGAGCCCCTGCTGGGCACCAAGAGAAGCCGAGGCTCTCCTGGCTCAGCAGAATCTCTCAGGGTACCAGCACCTGAGACTTACAGGGCCCTGGAGCTGGGTGGGCAGGGGGCTCTGTGAAGCTCTTTGACACACCTCCTCGCTTCCCTGAGGTCAGAGTCCCAACCAGCACTGCTCCCAACACAGGGAGTGCAGGGTAGGGGTGTTTCACAGGCATTTTAACTACAAACTTCTGGACTACAGATGGAGGGGGCGGTGAGGGCTCCCACTTCCAGGGCCTGCTCTCCCTTCTGCAGGGAGGGTGGGTCATGGCTGTGATTTAAACTACTGTTGCGTATGACACACTCAGATGAAGTCACTGGGAAAGAAAATATCATTCACTGAGGGTTGGAGAAAGGTAGGCAAAACCAGGGCTACGCTGCGCTGTTCTATCTCTGATTTCATGGCTTGGTAGCGTCACTGAGAGACACATCCATACCTTATCCCGGGGAATGAGAACTGTGAGTCCAATAACCAGAAGGGAACACACACTACAGTGCACCAGAGGGGGGATTTCTGTCTACAGGGAGAAGCAAGGCCTCCTGTGAAGGCCAGGCAGGGGTGCTGCAGAGTCACAGAATAGGTGTGGCCCCCAATTTAGCTTCTTAGTCACTGTCATCCTCAGCCCATTTTCCCCTTCTAGCAAGTTCAGCCCTTTGGATCATGAGATCTGAGAGAGGGTGAGTCCCGGAGGTCATAGAACACTGTCCAGCCCTGGCATTTTCTAAAAGGAGGGAACTGAGGCTGCAAATGTTAAGTGCCCAAATGCACTACATTTAGGCAAGAGTTCAAATGTGCCAACCTACCAGGAACTGCTGTATTTTGGAGACATTTATGATGACTCCTCATTTATGTGAGCTGCAAGAGGTCACACACAGGACACATGCTTTGGAAACAGATATGCTCACACTTTCCTGTCCTCAGTCTTGTAGATTCATCTCAAAAAGCTAACCCAAGACTTGAGAGCTGAGCTGTGTTGTGTGGTGTGGGAACTTTGTTTTAAAAATAAAGTTCTTTTCAAGTTGTGCTCAGCTGTGCACAATGGACAGGTTTCCTCCACACTTCATGGCTCAGGACAGCTGTTGTGGGCAGAAGGACATGACCAGACCCTCCTGGGCCTTAGCAAGGGCCAGTTCTGAAACTTCTGCATTGTGACAACAGCTCCTTCCTCCTAACCTTGTGAGGTCGCCAGCACCCCGAAGCATAAGCTACACTTCCTGGTCACATGGTCCATGAAGGCCAGTTGGCTGCTATCAAACTAAGAACCAACCATATAGAAAAGGCAAAACATTTTTATATTGGGGAGAACTGAGTCTATTTTGTAATGTGGAATGTGGAACTACTTATATTTAGTTTATCACAACACATAAGCATTAGCAACAAACAAATATGATAGTTTGCAAGTACAGGGAACTATATAAATTCTTAACATTAAGCACTAAGAATTTATGCATATACACATGAAAGGATGATGGGAGCATAATGTCCACAGGCCATTCCAAATGTAGCTCTCCTTGATTTAGAGTCCTTCACATCTTTGACCTCAGAGGCGTGGAACAGTAAGTGGGATCTGAGCTCTGCTTTTCAGGTTTATGTCCAATCTCCACCACTCCATTTGCCTTTTGCCTTAATTGACCGTTTCTCATTAAAACTAAGGCAGAGAATCACAGATTTCCCAGGAGCACAGCTGTAATCACCTCATTAGAAACCTGGGAAATGCCAATTAAGACCACAGCGGAAAGTGGAACCGTGGCATACCATTCCAAATGGCAAACATTAAAAGACTGATCATATTAAGTGTTGCTGAGAATGGGGGTCACAAGCTCCTTTGTATACTTCCAGTGGGAGTGCGAATCTAACCACTTTGGAAAACAATTTGGAATTTTCTACTGAATTCTAAACTATTCATTCTTTGTGAGTCAGCAATCCACTCTCACGTATACAAAATTTGTGTACCCTGTACCCTGAAAGTATGCTGGGATGTTTATAGCAGTTTTATCTGTGATCACCAAATACTGTGAACCTGAATGTTCATTGACTTCAGAGTAAGTGAATAAATTGTGAGATAGTCATACAACGGAATATCATAACAAAAAATAGAATAAAAAAGTGAACAAAGAGTAGTGATACAAAGCACAGATGACTTTCACGAGCATAAAACCTACTCAGGATTCCACATGCACAAAGTTCCCAAACAGGCAAAAGCAAGTGGTTTTGCTCAGATGTGTACAGGTCTTAAGATGGTAATATATTTAAAAAAATTAGAACAGGAAGAAAGTTAGGGCATCCTGGATACAAGAGCTCAGGAAGTGGTGTCGTCCAGTGGTGGGGTGTGAGTAGGGACCTTCTGAGATGTTGATGTTTTCTTCTTTGACTCTAGTGGTGTTGGCTATATAACTATTCAAAAGGAACACAGGTAAAGTGACACACTCTTTTTTGTGTTTTATATTTCATAATAAAAAGGTATAAAAATTGAGCTGGTGCAAGGTGGAAATAGAGTGTTTTTTGCTTTTGGGCAAGTGACTGCTGCAAAGACACACACAGGTCCCGGAGGAGAGCCCCCCTCCTGGAGCTCCAGCCAGACAGCCTGTCCCGGCTCCCAGGACAATAGCAGTGACAACTACTTTGTGCACATACTCCAAGGATGGCAGACACAGGGACTGGTTGCGGACATGCAGCCTGAACAACCCCTCAGGCAGCTGGCAGGAAACGAGGGCACAGAAGGGAAACCCACAGGCCCAACAGTTGTAGGTGGCAAAGACCAGAGGCTTGGTGACATTAACGGCCAGCAACTGTGAGGTGTTTTCTGGCTGCAGTGGCTGCAGTCAGATCCTGGGCTGGGCTACTTTTAATCTAAAATACAGGAAATACTGATTTGGAAGATGAAGCAGTTCCCCTTTTTGGCTCCGTTTCTCAGGAAAGTACACCTCTGCTCCACACACTCACTGACTTTGTCACATAGGCGCCCAAAGAGGGGAAGGGTGAAATCTAGTCTTTTCAATTCCGCTTAGGGCTGCTGCCTTCCATACTCAGTGTCAGTGGCCTCAGACATGTCTACATAAGTCCTAGAATACTTTTTCCCAATGAGTCTCTTGAAAGAGCCAAGCTCACAACAGATCTGTGTTTTGCTATTATAGAGCATGGGATTTCAGTGCTTTGAACTGGAGCAAGGCTGCCAAATTGCCTTCACTAGCCTTGAGACGTCTGGATGTCATGTGGCACGCATATGCTTCCTGGTGATCAGACAGGGAAGCCGCCCTCCTTCAAGGTGGATAGCCTTAGGCTCTGTGATGAGCAGGTGAGGTGGGGAGAGTGGTGGTTCTGCAAGGAGGGGCTGAGCCACATACCCGCCTGAATTGGACAGAATGGGTGGTGGCAATGCCCAGACACGGGTGGGGAAGTGAGGACTTCGAAGGTGGTGGGAACTTCAAGGCAGCCTCCACCCACCAACGTCATGGGACATTGAACTTTGCCCGCTGCAGACAGAACAGAACAGCTGGGGAGCAGGGGAGAGTTTGTGGGAGTGACATGCTGGACAGTGTGCATGCTGATGCAAGGATGAGAGGCCCCTAACTCAGGAGAGGCACCAGCCCTAATGATTCACTAAAGACAAAAGAAAATGCAACTTCTGGGTGCTACTGTTTTCACCATAGCAAAATTTAGGCACACATGCATTCCATATACATAGTGAAAGCAGATCAGTACAGAACACAGATCCAAATCTGGGGCCATGCCAAGCTTCTTTCCCACACCTGCCTTTTTAAACACTGTACCACAAATTCCCCTTTCCATCTCCCTGGATATTACTAGTTCAAGAGGTGGAACTAGGTCACTCTTCTTCTCTGTCAGCTTCATGGGGACCTTGATCAAACCAATGAACTGATATTGACATCAGTCCACAAACCCCTTTGAACTTTTTACTTCAGACAGGTTGGGACTATTTATGTTAATCTGCGGCTACAGAACCACACATGTCAAATAAAATGGTGTACTTTGATCACAGCACATAAAGGTGCTGGTAGAATTTAGCTTTTATTTTCACATCTGAGGCTCAAGTCAGCTATATGCTGTCTCATTCATCAATGAACAAGGACAAAATATTTTCTAAATCCACATTTACTTTTTAAATTTAAGTATATAGCAAAAAGCGAGCTGAAATTTGAGCAGGGATAAGTGCAAATAAGAGCAAAAAAAAAAAAAAAAAGAGAGAGAGAGAGCGAGAGAGAGTTTGGCCTCATACCAGTATCAGCACTGGACAGAGGGACAACATCCTGGGCTGGCAGCATGGTACACACCTGAACATGAAGCTCCCACATTACAGTACACACCTGTGAAGAAGATAATCTCTTCAGCCCTGGAGAACAGCATTCTCAATGTAGGATGCTCCAGATACCCAATGATAAATATTAATCAAGTACAAGCTCAAAAAGATCACCAAAAACATAAGAAACATGAGTTATGGGAGAGGGATTAGGGAGAGAAGGAGAGCAGGAGATAGAGATTTATATCGCCAAGGACTTTCAGTATTGTAGTCATCAGGCATGGAATATAGATGAACTAAGTATGAAATCATCAAAGAAACAAAAGATGGAATCACAAAAACTAGCAAGCAATAAGATACCATAAAAAATGCTCAGGGATATTTGAAACAACAGCAACAACAACAAATATAACTAGTAGAAAGAGAAAAAAAATCTAATTGGTGGGAAAAAAATTCAGTGAATGAGTTTAACACCAAATTAGACATAGATGAAG